TAAATCCATTCATTGAAGAGAATTTTGATATATTCGGTCCCCATGAGCTGGAATGATGGTTGTTTGTTCTCGATTTTGATCTGATTCTTCTTCATGTTGTCCAAAGGGCTAAAGCCCTAGATTTTTTAATATTTTATTTTTCATTTTTATTTTTTTAGTGGGACTTGGAAGGTCAAAAGATCGGTGCTTGACTTTGTGGAACATGATGAAGCAATGACCACACTTCAAGATTTGGATGATCCTGATCGAAACAAGGTTGAAAACAATGGGTCTAGTATTGTTGAGATTAATACCCCTATTTCGAATGAAGTTAAAGGCAAGGGAGTGGATTCACCTCCCCCTATGAAATCCTCACCGATAACTAAAGGGTTTGGCTTGAAGAAATGGAGAAGGATCAGGAGGGAATCGCACAAGGATGGGGATAGTAACACAGACAGTGGTAAGTTGTTGAAGCGTGGTTTGTCGAACGCCGCTGCAAATTCTGTAAAACCTGTGCATTTGTCTGCTGGAGCAATCCAAAATAGTGATGGATCCGTTTCTTCAACAAATGCACTATTGAGGAGCCCTGGTGTTCTAGTTGATGCCTTTGGTGTAATTGGTGATCCTGGGCTGGCTGATCGGCCTCTAATTTTTGGTGCCACGGACTCAGAGAACAGTGAGGATCGGAGTAGTAGGTCTTCGACTGCAGCCAGTGCTCCAAAAGCAAGGTACGAATCACCTGTGGTCTATGGTTATGTGCCTGATAAGAATGGCCAGATGAGTCTGAGTGGGAAGAATGTGAGTTCTTTAGCTCAGAAGTCTCATCAAGGAAAGGGTCGAGCTGAAACTAGTAAAAAGCCTAGAGGAGAAAGGGTCAAAATCGAGAAGGAAAACTCTCTTTCCAGCATGGACTCTGACTCACAGAGCTCCAATTTTCTCTGTGTGCAGAGTAATAATCATGTAACAACTAATGGTATTAAAGATGGAATGTCAGTGAATAATGGACAATTCAATGATGAAGCTTTTGCCAGAGAACGGCCAGTCAGTGAGGAATTTCAGACTTGTCTAGATGGAAGAAATGGTAAGAATTATGAAACTCAAGAAGATCTAGCTGCTGAATCACCCTGGGATGTTAAAGAAGAGAGGAGTGAGAACCAGGGGCTGTCCGCAGATCATGATCCTCTGCTGGAGTCTATCGTCACCCTTCAAGCTGCTCAGGACAAACTTGAAAGAGGTAGATCTTCAGTTTTCATTGAACAATTCGAATATATACTTCTCGTATGATTTTTTTTGGGTGATTGTGATTTCTATTTTCTGCTTTGCTTCTTCAATATAAAGCGTGAAGCAGATTTCTTTTTAGTCAGAAGTTTATTCCAAATTCAGAAATGAATAAGAAAGGTGGCAGTTATTGCATAGTTATTTGTAATGTCCTCCCCCTCCCCACTGCGGGTACGCGCCCCTTCTTCCCCCAAAGTTTGAGCTTCAGTTTTTGACAAATTTGGTCATTGTTTTAGAATTTAGGACTGACATTGTTGCAGGAAGAGGCGACAGTAGTGTCATGACATTCAATCGTGTAGTATTGATAATCTTAATGGCTATGTACCTATAGTAGTAGGATCTCTGTGGCAAGATCCACTCTTCTTCAAGTTTAAATATTTTTATTCTACATTTGGTATCGGCTATGATGCATATATTGCTTCAAGATCATGTCACCATAATAAAAAAAGTTTATTGAAGAAATTTATATGCCTTTAAGTTCTTCATTCTGCATTAGGTAATCATTTAACATTGTTTGTAGCTAGTACAGTAAGATTTGGTTAAACTCTTTAAGGAGTTGATATCTATTCATTATGGTAAATACTGACATTGCACATTGAAGGTGGATAAATGTGTTACTACTATTTACTATTAGGACGCTGTTGGCTTTCTCAAGAAATTGAGTAGTTTTAGCGCTAGAATGAACGGGATTTGCACTCACAGTAGTTATAACGTTGTGTTTTTTCTTTTGATCATAAAAAAAGGTTGGGGAGTAGATAATTTGGAGAATTGATAGTATGAATAGCCTATAATGTTGGTGTGGAAGATAAGGAGTTTGAAGGTGTAGTGGCTGACATAGGACTTAAAACTACATTTTTTTCCAGCCGAAGTTAAAGACAGATTTAGGTAAGAAAATGTCCTGATTAATAAAAAAGGGGTCTTAAATGCCTCGGAAACAGCCTTTTTGCCCTCTTGAGCCGAGGGTCTTTCGGAAACAGCCTCTCTATTCCTTCGGGGTAGGGGTAAGGTCTGCGTACACACTACCCTCCCAGACCCCACTAGTGGGATTTCACTGGGTGGTTGTTGTTGTTGTTGTAAATGCCTCGGAGAGTTGGAATATTCTCTTCTGTTAGTTTTCCATTCCCGCAAATGTTACTCTGGTGATTGGCAATACTCCCTCTTTTTCAATGTGTGTGAACCTTTTCGGAGTATGAGGGTGAAATTGACTAACTTTCAGTGTGAATTTGGACATAGATTTTTTAAGTTTTTTGAAATAAACTCTACATATTTATAAACTACATAAAAAGTGCTATAAAGCACAATTATTAACAATTCAAAATATCTAAAAACTATTTGCAAAAAATATGGTCAAAGAAAACTTCCTTTGACTTCCCAGATAGTAATTGGTTCATTCTTTTTGAAATGGAGGAAGTAAAAAATAAGAACTCCAGAATAGAAAGAATATCTGGAGGGTTGAGTTTTTGGGTTGTATCAATAGCAAATCTGCAGAACAATCAAGAAGATGGATAAATAAAATCAAGGGCAAAATAAAAAATTTCTCTCAGAATTCTCATAATACTAATTAATTCTATAAAGAGGAAGGATTAAGAAATTGAATCTATGTCTAAACCAGATCTCTTCTGCAACATGATCAGAATATTCTATGCTCCTTAAAGTAAAAAGATTAAACTTAAATCTGACCTAAAGTTTTTGAAACAACAGATGGTAAATTGATTCGAATAAATACCGTCCTGACTTTCTTATGGACCGGAAGGGCTTTTATCTTGGTGAAAGACTTGTTGGCTGCTTATTCTATGGATCACTACCGAGTAAAGCTTAAGGACTAATTCCCTTGCTTTCCTAATGGCCAATATGTCCTTGAGCTTTACCTGCTTTTGGTCCAAGGAAGGCGTGCAGATTGGGATGATGATCTTGTACCGTTCTTGAGCTCTTAGACCACTTTTAGTTTTTGTTTCTCTAGCTGTTTATTCCCTCTTAACTGTGTGATTTGTAGCCAATTCTTTTACATGTATCTTGTGGATCATATTCGTGCATTTTGCTTACCAATATACCTACCCTTTTACCTGTAATGTAAGGAAGAAATCAGTTACTCCTTGAAGTATCATTATCTGATAGTAATTAGTTTACATGCCTTTCTCTGCAGAAATTCAGAAATTCAAAGATATTGGCATACCTTCAGATTTCGGTTCAGATGACACAGATTTTCCTGGACTGAGCACATCTGAGCAGTCACAATCCAGGAATGGTGTGCAACATTCATTTAACTCATTGGAGTCTGAAGTGGTTAGCTTAAAGCAGAATGTCATACTGTTGCAAAACAAGCTTAATGAGGAAGCAGACTTGCTTAAGTTAAAGGAAGCCAGAGTTACTGAACTGGAAGCCATCTTAAGTAGTAACTCAAAGAAGGAAGAAAAGAAAACAGGAAATGATTTGCACCAGAGTACTGAGGACATTGAAAAAGAGCTTGAAGGCCTCTTTAGGCAGAAGTTTGAAGCTGAAATCGAGTATCTGGCAATATCGAGAACAATCCAAACGTTGAGAGCTGCAGCAATTGATCAAGTTACCCTCTTGGAAGAACAGAAGATATTAGCTATGGAACAAGCACAGATGGTGAAGAAGCTTGGTGATTCAGAAACGAAGACTGCAATGCTCAAGTCACAGGCTGAAAGTTTGGCAAATTACTGTGATGATGTGGCCAGCACTAATAAAACACGAGAGCTGCAGAAGGGAGTCTGCAAGTATAGTTCCTATTTTTTGATACAGTTGGTATTGCTGGTTATCGTCTTTGGACTGTATGTTTTGCAGATGTCACCTGATGCTGTTGAAGTTGTACCGACATAATTTTGAGAAGTGAGCCTTTTTCCTTTTTCTTGTATTTTCAACATAAAGCAACGATGAACGCTAATTAGGTCGTTTTAGTTGTTCATAGATAGAGGATACACCTACTTTCCATTTTGTCAAGTCGATATTGAATTCAATGATACATATAAACAATGATTTGGTGGCTCATAAGTTCTGAGATTTGCTGATGTTGACCATCAGGTTATTGTAGAGCTACCCAGCAGTGCTACTCCAACAAAGTGTAGACCTTGTTCTATTGATCTGAAGCATCCAGTAACGTTGCGCCAGTAGAAAGAGTTAAAGCTACGAAGCAAAGCTGTTAGTGGGAAGCTCGGTATAAGCGAGTTGCTGCTTCCACCTTTAATTCTAGGCTTCACAATAACTCTTTTTTTCTTCCCCCCCCCCTTCCCTCCCCTTTTTTTAAAAGAATTTTTTTTATTCCCGCTTAGGGTGAAGCAACACTCGAAGTTTAGGTGATGTTTGGTTGCAGTAGTAAAGAAATATAATCAGCACCTAAAATTTAACATTGTCTATTGATCAAGTAATGTTGCATTAGACCATGTTTCAAGTGTCCATGAATCTAAGTTATGTACAGTAATAATGTAAATGTTCTTTGACACGATCAATGTAATTTAACCTATTATAGCAGGTTAGTTACTACTATTTATATCAAATTATCTAGTGATGTTTCTCATAGAAATTTATCTATGATTAACTTACAACCCAATTGTTTAAAATATCTTACTGTGTAAATGTTAATGGAAAGTGAAGAGATTATGTTTGGGGCAAGAATATGTAATCCAAGAAGAACCAATGAAACAAAGCCAACTCACCATCCAAAATCTTTCTTTGCCTCATTCCCACCCTCACAAAATCTATCTCTTTTCTCCCAAAGCCTTTCCTAGAGTATAACCTCATCTTTAACTTTTCCAATTTCCAATATCCACTGATATATCCAATTAAAGATCAATTCCTCTTCTCCAAAAACACTGGTGTAATCATGGCTTCTGCTTTGTTCTCTGCACCAACATTCCAAGGTCTTAGACCCCTCAACAAACCAACTGACACTTGTCTTTTTCTCAACAATAAGGTCATCACTTCCTACAAACCAATGAAGAAAAGATGCAATCTTGGTGTGAAATCTGAGCTCAACACATCACTTGTTATTAGCTTGAGCACAGGACTATCACTTTTCTTGGGAAGATTTGTTTTCTTCAAATTTCAGAGAGAGAATGTGGCCAAACAAGGATTGCCTGAGCAAAATGGAGTTAGCCATTTTGAAGCTGGTGATTCCAGAGCCAAAGAATATGTTAGTTTGCTAAAATCTAATGATCCTGTTGGTTTCAACATTGTTGATGTTCTTGCTTGGGGCTCAATTGGTCATATTGTTGCTTACTATATTCTTGCCACTTCTAGTAATGGATATGATCCTAAGTTCTTTGGTTGAAAGAGAAAAGAGTCTTCTTGTTGATTTGTACTCTTCCATTGACATGTCTTTGTTTGTAATGCAGTAACTTAAGTTGCATAATCTCATATATAAATGTTGCTTTATTTGATAATGTTCTTTCTTGTGTGATTTACTTTTCAATTTGAGAGAGATAATCAATCTTCTTTTCTTTTTCTTGTTATTTGGTTTGATTCCCATAAAGTATTACGTAATTTTAAGAATTACTTATAGTAGATTAGACAGTAAAAATAAAAATTTAATAATTTCTTATTAACTAAGAAAGACAAAATTTAACATTAAACACTAGGAAAGCTCCATCAAATTCTAAAATATGCAATAAAAAAAGGGCATTAGACACAAAAATATACAAAAAATAGAATAAATAACAACTCAAAAAGCTGCATCATACTCTAAAAAAAACGACAAAAATATGCCGTTAGATATGAGTTCCCCCTAAATTCCTTCTTTTTATAGGTCTAATCAAATCAAAGAGCCAAAGTTCCTTAAATATTTGACTTTGAGACCAAAAGTGTTAAATTCTGGCAAATGTGATGGACTAAAAATAATCAGAGCATACTTAAGGGGACTACTTTGAACCTATACTCAAACAAAAAGGGACCATTTTGTCATTTTCTGCTGGCTCATAGAAATAAACTGTTACTGTCCTCCATTTCCTCCTCCGTCTCCGCCCCTTCCGACGAACGGACCTTCAATTTCAAAGGTACCTACCTATTCGCCCTTCACTCCATTTTTTTTTGATTTTAGGTAACTATTTAACTAGATATTCGAATTAAGAGGAAGATATATATTGAGGCATTGAATATTTTCGGATTTCCGGACTCGATGTTTGCTTGTATAGCTTTTGCTCAATTTCATCTAAAAGTTTGCTCCTTTTGTTCCTCTGAAATTCTGAATTGCGCACTGTTGCCTTTTTTGTGTTTTACTGTTTTTGTGGTGTAAATTAGTAGTGTCGAGTTCGCATTACTGTTCAGGTTTTATGGTTTTGAGTTTGTAATGAGTAGTGTCGATAGTTTTAGTAGAGCATAGTTGTTGGGAGAATGCATTGATTCTTCTGAAACCTAAGCATATATGTGATTTATGAGTTGTTGTACTTATCCTCTTCATCTGTTTTTTTTTTTTCTAAAAAAAAAGAAAAGAAAATGCATATTTAGGTGTATTGAGAGCATAAAGTGTCACAAAACTGAATATAAGTTTTTTAGAAAACCGAAGCTACTGAAGACATTTGTCATTTTGTTAGTGTTTAACTTATCAAAAACCTATCAAAAGATAAATGAATTGAATAGTTGGTTTTAGGAGAATTGTTAGCTGTTTTGATTTTCTGAAAACATTCTTAGAGTTTAGGATGATAATTTGCAAAGGCTATTAAAACTTAAGTATCATCTTTTATACATTGGAATTCCAATATCCCTAATATATCCAGTTAAACATCAATTCCCTAGGAACATAGTTGATGTTCTTGCTTGGGGCTCTATTGGCCATATTGTTGCTTATTATGTTCTTACCACTTCTAGAAATGGATATGATCTTAAGTTCTTTGGTTGAAAGAGAAAATAGTCTTCTTGTTGATTTGTACTCTTCCATTGACATGGCCTTACTTGTTTTGCAGTAGCTTAAGCTTGTATATTGGCAAAGAATTATTAGTACTACATTTTTCATTTATTTGTTCATCCATGGTTTCAATATATTTATGTTTAATTTTAGTTCAAATTTGAGGTTTATGATTAGTTTAGAAGTATAGTCCCAAACTATAGTAGTATTTATTATACAGTTGTCAATATATTTCAACAGAAAACGAATACTCCCTCGGTTACAATTTATGTGATATGGTTTCAGGTTTGAGTCGACACGGAGTTTAAGGGAAAAAAAGAAGAAATTTTTTGAAACTTGTAGTCTTAAACATGTTATAGTATTTGTGTGGCTATAAGACATTTGAAATTTCTGGTCAACACCTTCTGTTTGTGCCTGCAAATGGTATAGGAGTTCAATTTTCCATCGGTAAACTCCTTTCTCTCATGTTATTAGTTTTGTACCGGTTATTGGTTAATAGAATTTGATGAGGGCGCGTTTCGTACGAGGAAAAATGACTTCCTGGAATATGTTTCCATGAGTAAATCATTTTATGGTATTTGGTAATGACAGACGCCATTTTTATGGTATTTTCCATCAAAAGGAGGAAAATGACTTGTCTGATCGCTAATAGCCGGAAGTCATTTTCCTTACAACTATTTTAACTTTTATCTTCATATTACTTCCATACAATAACTCCAATTGCTGCATTTGCTATATAACAGGCATGGCAGATGCGTATATAGCAGATGCAGCAATAATAGAGGCGGAGCTAGCATGTATTATGAGGGTTCACCTGAACTCCATGGCTTTTGTTCAGACCCTACATAAGAATAAAAACTTTTTTCTTCTGTTGATGGCTTGCTTCCCATCCCATACTCTGAAATGGAAATTTATATCACAAATCATTAGACCATCATTAGAATTATTATGGAACATGATCATGTATTATGAAATTACCTGGAGCTGTGTAGCCGATAGATCCTTAACAGTTGTAAAGCTTGTCTGAATTACAGATGTTGTTTTATTAGTCAGTAGTAGGAAACGTGCCAATCCAAAATCACCAACATGGGCAACCAATTCATCGTCGAGGAGAACACTGCTTGGTTTGAATCACACTGAACTATTGGTATTTGACAATCACTATGAAGATAATGGATTGCACCAGCAACATCAATAGCAATATTTAGCCATTGCAGAAACCCCAACCTTCTAATTGGATGAACATCTGCTCTTTAATAATCTGGATGTAGCCAGTCCTCCAAACTTCCATTAACCATAAGCTCATAAACCAACGCCTTGAAGTCATTTCCACAATAATCATCACCAGAACATGCAGTGACTAGCTTGACTAAATTACGATGTCTAACATTTCTCTGGGCCTCACATTCTGCTATGAAACTTTTGATAGCTCCATGTTGTGAAAGATTCAGCACTTTTATAGCAACATGTTCACCTTCATCCGTTTCAACTATTCCCTTATAAACATATCCATGAATCCCAACACCAATCAAGTTGTTTTGGTAACTTTGAGAATACTTTGATAGGACATAGATAGGAGTTGGTTTAGATCTTTATCTAAAGAAGAAATGTTCGTTTAGTCCTTTGGAATCAATAGAGGAGAAGGGAACCAACCATAACTACTAGCCCAAAATCCCAATATCACAGAGATCATGGCAAGCTTAAAGTTAAGCTTGTTTGAATGACTGAAGTAATTGCACCTGGGGCGTTTCAGTCCAGGTTCACCACCACAGTTTCTAGGATTTCCAACCACAGAAGCTACGCTCACATTCTCGAAGTCAAAGATGCCTCTTTCTGGAAGCGCACCTTCAAAATCATTAAACGACAAGTTTAAGAGATGTGAGGAGGCAAAGCCTTCCGGTACTTTCGAACCATACCTGAGAGCCCATTATGAGAAAGATTTAAAACTTGAAGACTCCTTAGTGGATTGAACCCTGAAATAAATTTCTTCTCATTATTAGATCAAACAATGTCGCACAACTGCCAAGTGTACTGGGAATTTCATCACTTAGACTTTTCAAAGTGACATCTAATGACAAGATGTTTTTAAGGTAATTGAGCTCTTTTGGAAGGGATCCAGTCAAGTTGTTTCTAGAAAGGTTTAGAACAACCAAGGAAGAGAGGACACATATTTCTTTGGGTGTTAAACCGATTAAATTGTTTTGGTTCAGGGTAAGATACAACAAATTTTGACATTTTGCAACACTTGAAGGTAGTCTACCTCTAAGGTTGTTATGATCAAGATTTAACTCTGTTAAAAGGCTCAAATTTGCAATGGGAGAGGGTATAATTCCTGCAACTCTGTTCTTTAACAAGATTAAAAATTGTAGCTTATAAAGCTTTCCAATAGTCGGTGGAATGATACCTGTGAGTTGGTTTCCGCTCAGCCTAAGTTTTTCCAGGTTAACAAATTTCCCAATCTCTAATGGGATATGTCCAGAAAATCGATTGCTTGACAAGTTGACACAGGCAAGATTACCCGAGAGGTTTCTGAAAAACTCATGAAATCTCCTCCAAATGCATTGTTTTGCAGATATAGACGTTTCAGGTTAGTGCATTGGTTAAGGAGGAAATGAAGCTTAAGTCATCAGGTTTGCATATCTGTCATATTATTGTGATATTCAGTAGTAGTATATGGGTTTTAGGGAGAATTCAGTGTGAAAATTAATAGGAGAAGAAAGATCCCATCAAGATAAAAGGCCATGGTTTTTCATACATTCTGTAGAGCTTCTTAAACGCTCTATTGTTTGAAGGTGGTAATCTCTATAAGCTGTTTATTTTTGATAAAATAAAATTTTTGACATAGCGTAAGTACTTCTAAGAAGGGGAGCCTTAGCATAACTGGTAAAGTTACTGGCATGTGACCAGAAGATTACGAGATCGAGCCGTGGAAACAGCCTCTTGTAGAAATGCAAGGTAAGGCAGCATACAATAGACCCTTGTCTCCTGCCCTTCTCTGGACCCCGCGCATAGCGGGAGCTTAATGCACTGGGCTGCCTTTTTTTTTTTTTAATTTTTTTTTTGTAAGTACTTCTAAGTTTCTCGGGATCTACTCCCTCCGTTAACTTTTACTTGGCATGTATACTAAATAGATTTTCATTTTTATTTGTCACTTTATGCATATCAAGAAAAGACAAATTTTTTTTTCCTGTTATACCCACAGTATTTATTACTCATTTCAATTCATTTTCTCAAATTTAATAAAATATGCATCAATTAATATGGGTATCATGGTAAATTATGCACTTCATTTATTATTTCTTAAGGGTGTGAAAAGTCAAAAAGTGTCAAGTAAAAGTAAACGGAAGGAGTATATTAAAAAGTCTAAACTCAAAGAGACAATCTAGTCAAGTTGCTAAATCTTTTGTTGTTGGAAGTTGATCCAAAAGGTTTTTCAAAGTTGAATTGAAAATAGGAGGCCTCAAATTCATCACTCTATCCTACAATTGATATTTTGCTTCCAACACTGGAATATCAGCGGCAGCGAAGCTAGAATTTTTAATAAGGGGATTTAAAATATAAAGAAGTAAATAGCGAAGAAACAAGATAGACTCAATGTCTACTAGTACATATACATAAACAAAAAAATTGACCTTGTATATATAGTGTAATTTTTCGAAGTTGCACCCTCTAATTTCGCCCTTGAATGTTGGGGAGAGAAGGAAGAATCGGGTTTCGAGACTGCTCATTTGGACATACTTTAATTACAAGCAATTCATTTCAAATCATTTTAGGACTTTTTGTTGGCTCGTACTATGAAAGTAAGATAATATTGTTGGACTATAGAATATAAGTCCTCGTTGAAAAAAAAAAAAAAAGAAGAATATAACTCGTCATTTCCAAATTATTGTTGGCTTTCACGTCTACGAGATCAATTTACGTAATATTGACAAATTATTTTAAAATAAATGAATTGTAGTACCTTTGGTTTAATGCTTCTATGTATGTACATCAGTATTTATGAAAAGAAGAATCTATTTTCACTTCCTTACATGTTCTTTTTTTCTTCTTCAATTGATTCTCCAAAGAAAGCGTTTGGACATAACAAATGTTTGATTAGAGAAATAACAATTTTTAAAGCTAAATTGTAAAACGATATAGAAAATTGAGTCACAAAGGTTGTGTTTGGTACCAAGGAAAATGAGTGGTCTTATCACTTATTTTCTCTAGTTTGATTGGAGAGTGAAAAACTTTTTCCGGAAAATAGTTTCTAGTGTTTTTTTAAAGAGTAGAATATGTTTTTAGGAAATAAATTTTTATGCTACTCCTCACGCCGTTTCCCTCAAATCCCCATGTTTCGTGTGCTTAACCCCCCC